AGATGTGATGAGGCAAATCACTTGTGGCTCCATTGCAGATCTACTTTTTTTTTTTTTTTTTTTTTTGTGTTACTTCAATAAAATGCAAGTAATAAATGCAATAATCAAATGCATGGGTACCATTAACCAGATAACTGTAGCATTCTCCAGAAAGGTCGTTAGGCTGAACATTGCAGCAGGGTTTGCAGTCCATCCTCGCGTCCCACATCCGAGCCGAGCGTGTGCAGCCTGCCTGTGACACTGCTTCAAACTGGCTGCTCGGTGATTAGGTAATTAGGGATTTAATAAAGCTAGTTAAGCATCCAGTAGATCAGAATAACTTGTTTCCAGTGTTTCTCATGTAATGGTAAGAACATAATTGAACAGGTTTAAAGTTATTTTTCTGACTGATATGTACTTGCCAGGGTTTCTTTGAGCACTGTTATTAGAGAGACTAAAAATCTTTCAGGAAAAGGAAGATCCCCCACTCGCCCCTGCTAGCACCATCCCAGAATATGGCAGGGATTTAGTAAATGCCGCGAGTTTGTCATTTGGTGTTTTACTAGTCAATCATTCTTGTAAACTCAGATATATTGTGTAAGATTGTGAAAGTTATGCTGAGCTATTAATTAAGAAAAGCCCTCTCCTGAATGAGCTTCTCTGATTTTCATCTCGATAGCTGCGTCAGCCCAGAACAGCACAGGACTGTATAAACCCAGGAAGTCGAAGTGACTGCCTGGCTAGCACAAAGAAAATAGAAGCAGACGTGTGTTATTCTTGCATGGGGACAGCTGGGTGTGTTACTTCAGTCACAGGGCTCTATTTTTCTTTCCCTTATATCGACACACGTGTTTTTGTCAAGCATTCTTGTCCAAGTCTTAAAGACTCCACCAAAGGTCTCAAAGATGCAGATTTTCTTGTCCAGCCAGGATGCACTGGTTAGAAGCACTTTTCTAACCATGGTGCTATCACCCTTTTTTATACATCCTTCCACTGGCTTTTCTCTCCCTACACTGTTCAGCTCCCAATTACTTGGTTTCCTTTTCAAGGACTCTCTGAAGTTCTTCCCACCCAACCTGTCTTTTCCCATTCAGGTCTAGGATTGATCCCTGTCTCTGTGAGTTTGAGCCTATCTCACTCTCTTACTAGATTTTTTTTCAGACTAACACTTAACCTGCTTTTTCCAGGGCTGCCCTTCACACCTGGGAAGAAGCATCTGCAAAGTTGTCTCACCTGTGTCTGCTGCTTTGGTTAAGATCATTTTTGTCGGGGTGCCTTCCAAAACTGCATGGCTGCACAAGTGATGTTCTTCATCTTGATGCTCATGAATCTAGAGAGAGGGGAGAATTTTCCTGTCATTATTAGACAAAAAAGGTGTATGAGGAAAAAGAGCTAGCCAAATGATGTATTTTAATGCCTTACGGCTTCTGACCATGGAACAGTACACTCTGAGTCTGCAGTTGGTATCACATATGTGCCACAATTAAAGATATGCTGGCAGTAGGAACATAAATCATTTACAAGGACTTGCTTTAAAGAAGCAGAAATCTAAAAGGTGAGAGAAAACTGAAGAATTGGCTGTTCCTTGCCTTGGTGGTGTCATCCTTCAAATCTGCCTCTTCTCTCCCCTGTCACCATCTAGCTCTGTTCTGCATCATTCTGCTGTTGGCTATTAGGAGTTACAAAATAGTCCATCTGCCTCTAGGTGCCCTGTATGGTATTTAAAATATAAATTAAATGACTATTTCCCCAAACAATTTCTAATTATAGAGCCCAAATTTTAAATGAGGACATACCAATTAATGTTCTCATTTCTTTAGATGCTCAAAATAGAAAGGGTTTTGAAGCACTTTTTTTCCCTAGCAAACATTTTTGTCTTTGAACACGAGGTGCCTTTGCCCTTACACCTTCAACACATCACTTCATTTTTTTTTTCCCTTTTCTTTTGAGAGACACTGTCACTTCAAGGGAAGTAACTTAAGTGATAAAATAGTGCACGCAATACTCCTGTAGCGCTGCCTAGAGATAACTGCCATACAGCGTTTGTGAAGGTTTGAAAGTAGCTGATAAAAATGAGCACGAAGCCTTAGGGAGGGGTATTACAAAACGAAAGAAACTCTAAAGGATATTTTTCAGTGTTAAGAGTTGCAATTTGTAATAGGAATATGTTTTATGACAACCTTAGTCATTTGCATTAAATGGTCAAATTACTAATTTCCTCTGCAGAAATACCAGTTGCTTGCAGTTGGAATTTCTCCAGATCTGTGATCTTCCAGGAGCCTGTTAAAAATACCATTTTATATTAAACAAGAAAAAAAGATCTCAGTTTCAAGGCAAGACTGGTGTGAGAAAATCTACTTTGGGCTTTTATTAACCATTATGTATGTTTTGTGGGTTTTGTCTTTATAGGTTTTCCCTCTGCCTCCTGAGAGCCTCAGTATGGCATTGTGCGGCGAGCAGTGACGTCCTCTGCCAAATGTAGATGCCCCAGGAGCCAGATGAAAGCGGCGGCCCCGTCTCCCTGTCCCTGCGGCRCGGTGCGGTGCTGCTCCCACGGCTGTGTCGCTGCCTCGCCCTGCAAGAGAACCCGCGGCCGGACAGTTTCGCCCCGCGCGGTCGCCGTGTTCTGAGGGACGGCTGACCGGGACATCATGTAGTAGGCCCTCAAGCGTTGCCATAACTGAGCTGCAATGGTTTTATACACTTCCCCATTTCCCAACAGCTTTCTGTCAGTGCTGCACTCCTTTTCCTGGGGCCTGATTTTCCCATGTTACTGGCTTGCAGATAGGCTCGTGGCCTCTTTTGTTCCAACCACCTATGAGAAGCGTCAAAGAGCAGATGATCCCTGCTATTTCCACGCGCTCTGCATCATCATCACCACCCCCATCTACCTGGCACTGCTCGTAGCCTCCCTCCCATTTGCCCTGATCGGCTTCTTGCTCTGGTCCCCGCTGCAGTCGGCTCGACGGCCGTACATCTACTCGAGGCTGGAAGACAAGAGCCATGCCAACGGAGCTGCGCTGCTCACCGAGTGGAAGGCTGCAGGAACTGGAAAGAGCTTCTGCTTTGGCAGTGCCAACGTTTGTCTGCTACCAGATTCTCTGGCGAGATTCAATAATGTTTTCAATACACAGGCTAGGGCTAAAGAGATTGGCCGGAGGATCCGAAACGGGGCGAGCAGGCCGCAGATCAAAATATACATAGATTCTCCTACCAACACATCCATCAGTGCAGCGAGTTTTAGCAGCTTGGTCTCCCCTCAGGGTGGAGATAACACCAATCGTGCTGTCAGTGTTGGCATGAAAAGGACAACATCTATGGAGTATAAAGGAGACAATTCTGGCCTAAACAACAGCGAGGATGCTAGAGAGGATAAGGCTGGACTCGGGGAGCCAAATGAAGGAGAAGAAAACTCTTGCATCGTTCGCATAAACGGAGAGGAGAACGGCCTCACTTCAGACGCTGAAGTAGACACAGTCAATGGGCAGCCTAACGCTGGTGGCCAAACAGAGCAGTCCCCGGATGGCGATGCAGAGAACTCGAAAACGCCCAACCACAAGCAGAAGGAAGGAGATTCTGGGAGTTTAGACAGCTACACTGCCTCACGAGAGTCCTTGGTTAAGGTTCGCATTGGAGATGGTTCAGTGGACCAAAGCACTGTCAACAACAAGCTTCTCTACAAAGCTTCAATCATGAAGAAGACTTCAGTGCGGAAGAAGAAACACACCGATGAGACCTTTGATCACGAGATCTCAGCTTTCTTCCCTGCCAACTTGGACTTTCTGTGTTTGCAGGAAGTGTTTGACAAAAGAGCTGCAGAGAAATTGAAAGAGCAGCTTCATCACTATTTTGAATACATTGTCTACGATGTTGGTTTCTACAGCTGCCATGGCTGCTGTAGCTTTAAGTTTGTGAACAGTGGTCTGCTTTTTGCCAGCCGCTATCCTGTTATGGATGCTGCTTATCACTGTTACCCCAATGGAAGAGGAACGGACTCCTTGGCTTCCAAGGGAGCCTTGTTTCTCAAGGTAAGAGCCTTTCTTTTTGAAGCCCTAGCTATTACTGGTACAAGGTGACAAGTTATGCAGTTGTTTTYTATCAGACATTTCTGTTAGAGTTCAAAGAAGCAACATTCAGATCTCGATTGCCTCATGTAGTCTGTATATAGGTTTCATGGCCTAGATACTGGGTTCCTGATGGTTGCGTGAGAAATAATGAGGGACTTCTGGAGGTGAGTTTTAAGTGCCAAAATTTGAAGTGGTTTCCCTGGAATTTTGGCTTCTTCCTACAGAATTCTCTTTAGCGAACAGATTTTGAGCACAAATGTGGTAAAATGAGCACTGATCAGAAGCCCCTCACACACTGTGCAAGTCCAAAGACACAATCAAAAGATGAAGTGTCGTTTGGATAAAACTGAAGGAATTTCGATGAGCCGTGCGGCCATTTTTCTCTCTCCTGCTTATAAAATAATTGCTCTAAAGTCTTTTCATTTATTAGTAGGGTTAAATTAATTTAAATTAACTGCTGATGGTGAGAGCAGGGAGCCTGGGGTTGTACTGCTGCAGATGCTGAAAAGCAGAAGGGACCGTGGGCATGCAGTGCGTGGCTTTCCCAAGGCTGGTGGCTGTTCACRACAGTCCTGAGAGCGTCTGGGCGGGTTCTTTGCCAGGTGGGTCCATCTAACCRGAGACTAACCATGATCCCAAAACTCAGCACAGAGGTTCAAATCTGTAGCCTAAAACCCAGGTGAATCTAGAAATTGCCTAGCATACTGCATCTTAGGTTTTACTAAATTACAATTGAATCTATTTTTTCTTTTTTTCCTAGAACCAGCAAAACACTCCAGGTACTCTAATTTTATGTACTCCCTAGGGTATTGCTCACTAGACCACAACAAAAGCTGCTGCTACACAGTCATGAAGAATAGGGGTTGTTAATAAAGATCCATGTGTTTTCATGTGTCTCCTGTTTGCAGCTTGTGAATAAGGCAGAAATGTTGAGGGTTGTAATTTACATGAAGAAGCAAATACTACATTTCACAGTCARGTAATCTCTAGTATTATCAGATACATTTGACATAAAGGTCTATCCCTATCTGAATACAAATGATTTTCTTTCCAAAAATTGAATCCAAATTTTTTATGCTCTGCTCTTATGTGTTTAATAAACATCTAATGCTTATTCTCTCATCACAAAGCACTGTGTAAAAATAATAATAATAATAATTTTTTAAAATGTTGTACAACATAAAAATGACTCAGGTCACAAAATGTACCCTTCAACATATGTATATATCAGGGATTAAGTGCTTAAAGCCAAGCTGCTTTGTACTGCCCGTTGCTGAGTCAGAGCTCTGGTCCCCTGGAGCCGGGGCTCCCTTTCCCTTGCAGAAAATTGAGCTGCTCTTCAAAATTCCCCTGGCRAGAGAAACTTAACTACAGACTCGAGCTGTTAAACAGTGTTGCTGTAGAGCAGGGAATAGGGGCCAATTACTGCAAAGTTTCTCAGAAAACTAAATTCTTATGGATATAACAGACTTCTGGCCCAGTGAAAAGATCCCTTACCTCCTGTCTGTGTTATTTTGATACACTGCTAAAACATTCATTTGGAATTAAGTCTAGCCTAGCAGGAAATGATTTGCACTCTGGACTGTAAGTTAAGTGGTCAACAGTCATTGCTTTCTTTCACAATAAATATATAGGAACACTCTACTACTAACACTTTAATACTAGCTTTGAATCAAAGTATGTTCTTAAACAAAGTATATTTGAAGGTTGTTTTTTGTGATGTCAATAAGTAGCTGGTGGGCAGGCTCCAGAGTTGAGGCTTCTCTGGGCCTGGTGTTTGTGAAGCCACTGAGATGGATCCCTTGACTGCAGGAGTCCTCAGGTGAGGTCCTGCTGGAGAAGGATGTCGTGTGAGACTTGTTTTTAACATAYGCTTAGGGAGCCTGTGCCCCTTTCACAGCTCACATCCCTCGGTACAGAGCAATTGCTCTCTGCTTAGAAATGAAGTGTGAGAAGCAGGTGAAGGGAGAATATGTTGAAAATACAGATGTAATCACTTGCCCTGGGAGGATGAAGCATTTTATGCAGATCTTTCCTAACCTCAGAAAAGACCCAACTCCGCAACTGAAAGGAATGTTCAGAGAAGGGAATTGGGCGGTTTCATTTAATAAGTGTTTGTCTCCCTGCCACAAAGCATAGCTATCAAGGAGATAAATTGAAGGTCTTGGAGCTAAAYATGTACCGAGTGGTGCATTAGCTAAATAAAAAGGCAAGACCGTTCCTGGGGAGCTGTGTTACCAACACGTCCATGCTGCCAAGGGAAGCACTTCATGGATTTGTTCCTGCTTCCAGTGAAGAGGAAACGATTTTCCATCCCCGCTCTCCTGCCTCCACCGTCCAGGCTGTAACGCTCAGATGGAGATTTTAAAAGATTTGTGAGATTTGTMTAATCATACAGCATATTTTACCTGGGAGATTTAGACAGCTCAAGGACTATTATTAGTAGCTATAATAATAATCAGCTCTTATGTACTGCTTTTCATTCATATATCCCCAAGTGTATTTTAAAGAAAGGTCAAAATCCTGTTTGCTACTTCATTCTCCTTTGCCTAAAGCACAAATTTGATCTTTTTGTTTTAACACCTGGGATGTCACAATCAAAGAAAGAGACTGACATAGAACCCAGAAACTTCTCACGCTTCCAAGGTAGTGGCTGTGTGCTTCCCAGGAGCTATCTGGAGCCTGTGCCAAGGAATTTAGCTTGTCTGAATTGGTGGATTTCTCTGCCTAAAGATGTTTTCCACCCAAGGTGCTGCTGCTGTTTAGCTGAGATCACAGGCTGCTTTTGTTCCTCTGCTGAGGCTGCTGCTGCCCAGSTCAGGATGAGCCCCTGCAGGGGCCATGGCTGAGAGCTGTGGCACCAACTCGGCTCCCTGCTGACGCGGAGGAGTCATCCACGCAAAGGGCTCTGATCACCTCGACTCAAGCAGTGTTGGTGTCTCAGGTGGTTGGGACACAAGAGGGTCAAAGTCACAGAAGTAGCAGCCTGTCAGAAGGGGAGAATKTCACTTGCATCCAAGTGGCAATTTCGTGTCTGAAGTGTTAAACTACTGTTCTTAGTTGCTGCTAAAGACTCAGAGGAAAAGTTAGCAAATATATAAATCAGGCAATCCATTTTCATACTTTGACAGTCCAGGCCCTTGGGATGTTCTGCCGTGACTGTGTGTTCTGGTGCAGTATTTCACGTTAATTTAAAATGTCTAAGAAAAGAGCCCTCCAGCCTGCCTGGCARTTTTTGTATCTGCTCTTATCTTGTGCTGCTGCCTAGAGAGGAGGGAAGCAGGGCTGGCACTGCTGCTGCCCCTAACAGGCCAGCTCGGGGGGAGCCGAGTAAYGGGATGCAATGACAGTGTCCTCGGGTACTCTGCAGCTCTTGCTCTGGCAGCACATAGTTTACATTCACAGTATTTCTGGTGAACCTAGAGTTTTAAAATGCATGTCCCTTTCAGAAACTGCAGAACCACTTTGCAGCAAGTCAGGGATTGCAAGGCAAGGTGAAGGGAGGACAAGGGCTGATTGGGCATTGTTCAGTGCATCCCCAGGTTTCAATTCATTAGCTGGTTTCAAAACAAAATCTTAATATTCATCTTAAAGGTATTTGTCTGTATTGATATCCTTTGCCTTCCAGGGACTGCCTTTCAGGGATGCTGGGYATGTTTTGGACAGCAGCGTAATAAACCCAGACCTTAAAACTGAGCTTGCCCCCGTGGTCTCCTGAGTTGGAGGGCTCGTCCATAATTTTTCAGATGTATCGATTTAATAAAACCTGTCAGCTTTGCTGACAAATTTTACCATTCTCTTATCCTTAAACTGTAATGGATTTAACTCTGGCTTAAATCTAGTCATTTTAAGACATGTAAGTGTGTGAGCAGAGGTCAGTGATGGAGTGATGGAGAATGGCCTTTAACTGGAGGCAGTTTTTGGAGTGATTTCTCTGAGACTGAGATCTGTGGAARAGCTTGGGAAGGAGGTAGCTGTCCCTAAAATTCTTGGCAAGGGATTACTGTGTTCTTTAACATGTGCCAAAAGAATGGGGTTTAATTATCAAAAATAAGAATTCTTGCTTAAAGCCAGTGTTTCACTGTGAGGCAAATGCAAAACAACAGTCTGATGTGGGAAGTTTGAAGCGCTAATAACACTCTAACAGAAAAACTGCAGGGCTTAGGAAAAATTATGCCTTGTGTGCCTTTTTAAATTTCTGAAAGAACTTGTGTTTAATTAATATTAATTCCTAAGCCTATTAACAGATTTAGTTTTCAAATTCTCTGAAAATCAATGCTTTTCTCAGCCTGTACAGGAACCGTGCAGAAAATGTGCAGCTGCTTGTTTTGAAGGAAATGTAGCCACCGCTCTAGGGGGCAAAGCTCAACTTGTGCTCAGCAGAAGAGCTGATCCGGTGTGGGCAGAACTTGCGGTACCCAGTTTTGCAGAACTGCTCGGAAGCAGTTTTCCCTAGTTGTTACTTGCTAAATGTTGGCTTTATAGGATGAAATGGCAGTTCTTGAATTGCCCTGGGTGATTTTTTTTTCTAGTATTACTGATGAAAAAATGTTTTGCTTGGATGATTTGAGCTCTTTCCTTTCCCGCACCAGCTTTCCTGGGGAGAGTTCAGTAGCTCGGGGCACTAGCGAGGGTGGTGGTGGTAGCTTGTGCTGGGCGCTTGCGGGATGGATGGAAGGGAAGCTTCCTGATCTAAGGTGGTAGCCCCATGATTGAACTCGCAGAGGGTTGTRGAAATAGTCTGTTTCTGTATTTGCCCGGGATACCGACTTTGCATTTGTCCAACTTTCCTTGGAATTTCTTGGAATCCATCCCGCAGTGCCCTGTGCACGGGGCTGCCCATGGGCAGTAGCACCCGTTGGGCACATGAAGAGGTGACGCTGCCTGGTTTGGTACCCTGTGGAAGATCACGCAGGGATTTCAGCGCGTGGATTTTCTTGATCAGGCCTCTGATAATTACA